CACTGTGGTGAGTTTGATTACAATATGTCATGGTGAGGATCTCTTTTGGTCATGATTATTGGGGGTTCTATGTGCTTCTTGTACTTAGATGTTTCTGTCCATCTCCAAACCCGGAAATTTTTCTGCTAGTATCTCACTAAAAGAGGCCTTCTAATCCTTTCTCTCACTCCATGCCTTCAGGAACTCCTAGAATCTGAATGTTGGGCTTTTAATAGTATCCTGTAGATTCCCAACAATATTTTTTAGATTTCTAATTTCCTCTTCTTTTCTTTGGTTTGACTGTATACTTTCTTGTGCTCTGTCTTCTAAGTCTGAGATTCTCTCTTCTATCTCTCTGATTCTGTTCTTAAGGCTCTCAAATGTGTTTGTCATTTATTCTATTAAATTCTTCATTTCATTTTGATTTCTCTTCAATAACACAATTTCATGTACTACTAAATTCCTCTTTTCTCTTTTATTCCTCCTTAAGTTTTCATTTTCTTGAAAGAGATTTTCTGTCCTGTCCAGTATGGATATCTGTAGTTCATGAATTTGTTTATTTTTTTTTTTTTTAATTTTTTTGACAGGCGGAGTTAGACAGTGAGAGAGAGAGACAGAGAGAAAGTCTTCCTTTTTCCATTGGTTCACCCCCCAAGTGGCCGCTATGGCCGGCGCATTGTGGCTGGTGCGCTGTGCCGATACGAAGCCAGGAGTCAGGTGCTTCTCCCGGTCTCCCATGCAGGTGCAGGGCCCAAATTCCTGGGCCACCCTCACTGCATTCCCAGGCCACAGTAGAGAGCTGGAGTGGAAGAGGAGCAACCGGGACAGAATCCAGCTCCCCAACAGGGACTAGATCCCAGGGTGCCAGTACCACAGGTGGAGGATTAGCCTAGTGAGCCATGGTGCCAGCAATTAATTTGTTTTTGATAACTTCTAAATGTTCTTATCATTAATTTTTTGAAATACGTATCTTGTATTTCTTCTATCTCATCATCTTCATACTTTTGTATTGGAGTGTCATGTCATTTGGGGCAGTCATAATATCTTCCTTGTTCTTGTTTCTCTGGTTTCTGTGTTTGTTGTTTGGCATTGTGGAGATATTATTCGGTTTATTTTTTTTTTCTCGTTGTGGTGGCTTTTCTCATTATAATATGACTCTAGATTAAGTGGACTGTCTGCTTTTGGTGAATCTCTGGATGCTTGTGGTGGGTGTGGCCAGACAGCTCTGTTCAGTTCTTCAAGGTTAAGGGTGTGCCACAGGTGACACACCCAGGTTTGGTGTGGTGAATTTTTCTTTCTCTCTCTTCTCTCTCTCTCTCTCTTTTATTCAGAAGGGAAGTAATTCTGCTCAGCTGAGCTCTTCTCCTTTATGGCAATCAGTGCCTGAGCCCTAGCCCCAGTGGGTATAATATTTGTGTGCCCTGCCCCAAGGACCACACAAAGGATCTGTGCAGTCCTCAGTGTAAGCTCAGATTCCCCTGCAGTGTCTCCCACCAGGTTGCCAAAGTTACTGAGCTTGTGGTGTCTCTCACCGAGAGTACTCAAATCTTAGGCACACCGTGAGTTCTCCCACACACCCTCAATTTTTTTTTTTCACAGTCCCAGTTAATAAGCTCCACACATTCACTAGGTCTTAACCTCCTGTTATTTCCCCCCACCAGAGTCAGGTTTTTCTGCTTGGCTGAGGATGGGCACAGCCCTAAGCTGGCGCAGCTCTTATGTATGTCCAAAATGGCACCTGCTGTATTTTTTACCCCTTGCCTTTGCAAGTTGAGTGGAGAGAGAGAATCATGTCTGTACTGCTCCCTTTTTTTCCTCTATCCTCTAGTTAGGCTGGTGAACTTTCCCTCATGGGACTTCAAGCCTTGTTCCCTCTAGGCTCTTCCTTTCACTTTTCCTCCAGTGTCTCAGGCTACTGTGGTTTCACCTCACCTCCCTTTCCAGCGCTGGTGCATAGACTCGGTGGCTGGGGTCCTGAGCCCTGGGTTCCCGTGCCCTCCATGTAGGTCCACCGTACCCCACTAGTTCCGGAAGAGTTTCCTCTGCAGTTTTTTCCCTAACTCTTACCTGAGACTACAGTATCTCCCCTTTTATTAAGCTATCTTTTCCCGGACTATCAGTGTGCTCCCTCCCTGTCTACCATCTTGGAGTTCCTATCCTTCCAGAATAAGGGAGAAGGTCTGTTGGGGGGGTGGGAGGGGCCTGACAGGCTGCCTCCCCATGCATGAGAGAACAGCAGCCTGTACTAGAACAGGTCTTATATAGCTTTGCAGAGGTAAGGAAGTGGGAGCAGCAAATCCCGTCAGGGTAGGGGTGGAGCTGATGCTTGTGATTGGGCCATTTAGCCACCTGACTTCTAGTAAGCCATGGTGGGCTTAGGAAGACACAACAATTTTACTAACAGCCTGCCCTCTTGTCCACAGATGTAAAACAATGTTCTCCAATTAGTTTTATTATAACTAAAGCTGATCACCATATTTCTGTGCATAGCTCTCTCAGTTGGTTCAAAATTTAGGAGATACAGGAATGCCTTCATGTATTGGGCCCTTAAACATCAACCATCTTTGAGTCTCCTTTTGTTCAGCCTTGATGAAAAATAAATAACCATAGTAAACAATGCAAAAAAAAGGACTCATTTAATCTGTTTTTAGAAAATTTTTATTTGATAAATATAAATTTCCAAAGTACAACTTCTGGATTATAGCGATTTTTCCCCCATAATCTCCTTCCCACCTGCAAACCATCCCATCTTCTACTCCCTCTCCGATCCCATTCTTCATTAAGATTCATTTTTAATTATCTTTATAGACAGAAGATCAACTTAGTATATACTAAGTAAAGGTTCATTTAATCTTTAAGAAATATATTTTGAGTGGCTTAAAAATATTCATCTGTCCTTTATGTATTTTATAATTTAATAAGCACAGTTCACAATTATACTTAATATAATGAGTTTTATGTTAGGGAATGAAGTGTGATAGGTAATCAAAGTGCAGGCTCACCTATCCTCATCTAATAAGTCAGGGAACGCATCCCTATGGAGAAAATCCAAAAATGAGATACAACAAATGTTCAGTTAAGGGAGAGCATAAAGAAAAGAGAGGAAAAGTGTGTTAAATGTTGAGGGAAACAAATACAAACATAGCTGTGAAAGGTGGTGTAGGCCTTCTGAGAAATGAAAAAAAAAGACAAAACAATTGGTATATATTTTGGAACACATTGCAAGGAGGATATGTGGCAGAGATGCTTCTGGAAATGAGGACCAGATCATTGAGAATGCATAAGTAAGCATATGGACATCAAGCAGTTATGCTCTTAGAATAAAATAAAGATCAGTTTGTAACATGAAATGGTATCGCTTTTTAATAGAAGACTGACGTTAAAAGAGTAAACAAACAACTCTTTGCTGAAGAAAAAGATTCATTTACATAGACTAACTCTGGTTTGGAGGATTTCAGGTTTAGTTAAGCAGAGTGCCATCGGGAGGGTTTTTATGTTAGGTATTAAGAGAACCAGATTTAAAATATAAAAAAAAAAAATCACCCTTTTTAAAACTGAAAGTTATTTAGCATAGAGCAAGAGTGGAGCCAGTTCATTACAAAATAGGTGCTTTGGTCCAATCAAGGTATGACAAAGGAAAAAGCCTGGGTAGCAAACACAGAGATGAAACAGATGCTTGTAGAAAATGTTTCAGGGAAGAAAATTGAACAGTTGGGACATTTTGGTGCTGGGATCAAAGTAAAGGAGATATAAAATATGAAACGGACATTTCTAATTTTGGTTACTACCAAAAAAACAGCATCATGATAACCAAATAATCAAGGATTGAATGATACATGAAGGAAATAGTTATGGCCAGGACTTATATGAATTGTGAAGTATGCGATGGAAGGTAACATAGCAAGCATGAGCTATTAAAGACTCTAATTTCATTAAATATCCATCTTTGATTTTGATAATTTTGAAACATACAATACATCATTATTTATTGTTGTCATCAATATGACAATAGCTCACTAAAGTCTGTTCTGTTATAAACTGAAGTTTTATATCCTTTAATTCAATATCTCTTTTTCCCCACAAGTCTGGAGGGCTAGATTTATTGATCAGCTTGATTTGATCATCTACAAAGTATGCATGCAAGTATATCAATATATATTATGCTACATAATTGTATAATATACACAATGATTATTTGTTAATTAAAATTCTAAATAGGACTACAGATTGAAAAAGGTGTTAGAAGTGTTAGAATTTCAAAAACATTATTTTTCTATTGAAACTTTCTAAAATTATTTGATTACTTTGTAATAAATCTAATGAGTTTTCAGCATTAACAAGTTACTTTACAAATGCATTTGTAAAAAACAAAAAGGGTAATTCATCAAAAATATATTTTCCATAAGATATTATTAACAAGGCAAAAGGAAAAGTCATTTCTTATAAAATTTGCAATTTAAAATGGTTATACAAAGATCACTCTCCCAAAATGAGAACATTAGGATTGAAAAAGGACTCTCTCTAATCACACATAAAGTAATGTATGAGATATTAATCTTAATAAATATTTATCATCCCAAATTTATTATTATGATACAGTCTGAAATTCTTACTATATCTTTGAGTTTAGCTACTTAATGTAATTAACATTTATTAATATTTTACACTCAATGTCTAATTTAGTAGACTTATTTTACTTTCTAATGTATTAATGATTTAAATCATGGTAACATTCTATTCTTAAGTATCTTTGAAATACTTTCTTTTGAAAAACTTATTTATCTAAGTGTTATCTTTATCCCAAATGTATACCATATGATGTATAATTATGGTTGTTTAGATTTTGAGTACCAAAAAAGTGAAATGTATATCCCATCACCTCCGCCTGTTGAAAATGAAATTGACCATTAGAATCTTCATTATAATTATATTACATGGAGAAAAGTTGATATGTGCCAAGTTTGTCTTTTCTATAAGAATGACTATATTTACAGAGTTTGTTCTTTTGTACTTCTTTGAAGCTTCACACTGACCAAGATAATGGAGATGGAAATTTAAAATACATATTAACAGGAGATGGGGCTGGCAGTCTGTTCATTATAGATGAAAATACAGGAGACATTCATGCTGCAAAGAAATTAGACAGAGAAGAAAAATCCTTGTACATTCTTCGTGCCAAGGCAATAGACAGAAAAACTGGGCGGCAGGTGGAGCCAGAATCTGAATTTATCATTAAAATCCATGATATCAATGACAATGAACCAAAATTCACAAAAGACTTATATACTGCCAGTGTTCCTGAAATGTCTGGAATTGGTAGGTATATATTAATTCATGTAAACTGACTTTATTATTTGTTTGCTTGATACAGTAATTATTATAGACAAATGATTATGATATTTGGCCTTTCAAGATAAGATATTAAGTGTAAATAACTCCTTCCTAATTATTTTTTTCTGTCAGTGTCTCCTGTTAGGTTGTACAATATCTAAGATGATTTAAAAGAACAGTTATTCTATTGCATTTCAATCAACATCTTTACCTCTATTCAACTGTTCAAATGGATGTCAAATGGGATATATTTCTGCCTGAAATGAAAGGAATAACAAAAAGTGTCAGCAATCCTGGGCAATTTTGCTTGCATTATTTAGAATAATAACAACCAATGCTTGTATCTGACAAATTTTTTCAGAAGCACTGTCTCATTTGATTATTAAAACAACTTTATGTGATAGGTATGGAAATAGGACTTTAATTTCCTACCCTGTACAATAGTATCCCAGGATTCACTTAGATTGAGTAGCTAAAACAAGACAAATAAACTGCTAGCATAGTGGCAAGAAAGCAAATCTTTTTATGATATTTCTTGTGTATTTTCAATTACTTAACATTGGCCTGACATGCAAACTAAAGAACATAGTTTATATTTTAAAAGCGACCTACAATTTTAAATACCACTTGTTAATCTACAAAATTTGAATTATGTGTGACTCCATTTAAAATTCTGTTAACATGAGAAGTTTATATTTTCTTGTAAATTCTGACTCAAATTAGAAAATATTTCTTTAAAATGTTAGAAATTTATTATCTAAAATAATGCAGTTACTCAAATTTGTTACAATTTAATTACCTACTCTTTCACAATCAGATTTAAGTCTATAATTTTGACATAATCACTAATATATGTTTCAGTCTAAATTAATAATTTCTATGTGAGGAACACAAATTTAGCTGCACTTTTTCTGGGAGTCTGATGTCAATTATTTATCTAAATGTGCTTTCCAATCAGAAGAACCAAGGGTTGTAAAGAAATTATTGTTCCTCAAACGAAACTCATCTGTGTAAAGCAAGTGCAGTTCTATTGTGTTTCCACAAATTCACACCTATTATATGAACGAGATATATGGAATTAGATAAGAGTTCTGGGAAATCTTTGGGTCCTGAGAGAAGCCATTTATTTAATATTTATTAATGCCTGTTACCCATTACAGTTGCTTGGAAAGTACTGAATTGGTCTATGCAGGTCTACCAGCAGGCTAATTTAGATATACATTATTTTAGATATACATTATGGTCTCTTGATGGCTTATATTTGAGATTAAGGAACACCTAAAATTATACTTGTCTTACCAACTTCTTATTGATGAGTATGCTAAAATAATTTTGATTTTTTAGTTAATATACTTTAACTTTTGGAAAACATGATTGTTTGTCTTGAAATCATGTTATTTTGCCAGATATTTTGACACCACAGAATATCAAAACTTTCTTTTATTTTTCTCTAGAAATATTTTATATACCTAGAGTATTAAAAAACACAATTAAGAGCCGGCGCCGCGGATCAATAGGCTAATCCTCCACCTAGCGGTGCCGGCACACTGGGTTCTAGTCCTGGTCAGGGCGCCGGATTCTGTCCCAGTTGCCCCTCTTCCAGGCCAGCTCTCTGCTGTGGCCTGGGAAGGCAGTGGAGGATGGCCCAAGTGCTTGGGTCCTGCCCCCCATGGGAGACCAGGAGAAGCACCTGGCTCCTGCCTTCGGATCAGCGCGGTGCACCGGCCGCAGCGTGCCAGCCGTGGCGGACATTGGAGGGTGAACCAACGGCAAAGGAAGACCCTTCTCTCTGTCTCTCTCTCTCACTATCCACTCTGCCTGTCAAAAAAAAAAAAAAAAAAAACCACACAGTTAAGAAAACATTGATATTTGAATATAAGAAATTTGATAATTAATTTAAATATGAGTACACATTAAATTTTGAAAAAATATCTCATTTTAACAAATGGAAAATTTCTCTAAAATACACTATTGAAAGTTCATCTTAAATAACCTACATTTTCTCCTAAGTTATTCCATCATTGATCTATCTAATTCAAATATATCCTCTCCCATTTGAAATACTGATATCCTATGGAAATTTTTTTTAATATTTAACAAGTATGTAACAATATGAAGACTGGACTATGCACTTACATTTTAACTTTTTAAACCCTTTACTGATTTAATTACATGTAAAAATACACTCATGTTTAACAAGGAAGAAGGCCTGTGGATTATCTTCTTCAAAAACTCACTCTATAAGGTAGTCTATATTTCACTTATATGAGTTTTAAATTGTGGGCAGTGCAACTTTGGATTAAAATGGTGCTTAGAGAGAATGAACATTTAGTGCAGTGGTTAAGATGCCCCTTGGTGGCTTTCGAGTCACAGTTCCACTTCCAACATTAGCTCCCTGCTCATGCATACCCTGGAAAGCAGCAACTGATAGCTCAAGTACTTGTGTCCTTGCTGCCCATGACTTGGATTGAGTTGCAGGTCCTGGTTTTGGTCTGACTCAACCCCTGCTTTTGTGGACAATTGGTAATTGAATCACCAACTGGAAGGCTCATTTTCTCTCTGTCTCTATCTCTGTTGATCTATCTCTCTTTCAAATCAAAAAAAAAGAAAATGAGTCAAAGTCAATTGCATTTTCCCCATTGTCTATAATTCTCAAAAAACTGAGCAAAGCATGCATCAGGCAGCAGTATGAATCTGGATGCACCTTTTGGTCCCTAAATAAGGATGTAGGAGCACAGATAATTGATTCTATTTATAGTTATTGTTCCCTAGCACTAATAGTGATAGTAGTGCATGAATTTCTTATTCATTGGTCCACCATAGAAGTTCTATGTGCTTCTAGTGTTGAATATATGTTTATATTATGCACCATATGTGCATGCAGAACATACTATTTTGGATTAAATAAATAAGTAAAAGTGAGCTCAAGAGAATGAAAGCTAAAATGGCACAGAATCATCCTACTTCTTGCCTTGCTAGCAAGGAAAAATAAGTTAATAGATACACTGAAGCTTATCAGTTTTAATGTCTTACTATTTTCCTTCACTATCAACTAGTTATGGTTTTTATACAAAAATGTAATTTTCAATCTAACATAAAATTCAGAATAAGTATATCAAAGTAGCATTTTTCTTATTGTTATTTTAAAGAAATTGCTTTCTCAGGCCTGCGCCGCAGCTCACTAGGCTAATCCTCTGCCTTGTGGCGCCGGCACACCGGGTTCTAGTCCTGGTCAGGGCACCGGATTCTGTCCCGGTTGCCCCTCTTCCAGGCCAGCTCTCTGCTGTGGCCAGGGAGTGCAGCGGAGGATGGCCCAAGTGCTTGGGCCCTGCACCCCATGGGAGCCCAGGATAAGTACCTGGCTCCTGCCATTGGATCAGCGCGGTGCGCCGACCGCGGCGGCCAATGGAGGGTGAACCAACGGCAAAGGAAGACCTTTCTCTTTGTCTCTGTCTCTCTCTCTCTCACTGTCCACTCTGCCTGTAAAAAAAAAAAAAAGAAATTGCTTTCTCTGTAAAATTAAATCCAACTGAAGAATACAAAGAAAAAACCCTACATTTTGTATTATAATTTCATATACATTTTTATGCAAAAATAAAAATTAGATACCTTTTGCATTCTTATTTTTTTGGCTATTTTCTTGCAACTCTGTTACCTTATTAAGAGGATTTTTTTTGTTAATATGTACTCTTCACTATAATTATAAGGGATGTCATTTTCTTTGATTTTGCTTTTACAAATAAACTATATCGCAAAGGAAAACTACAGGGGTGATATTTGTCAGACAATGTGTAACCGATACACATTAACACTCATGCAAAGATTGCCTGTATAAACTGATACATAATAATTTAATTCCAGTATTTTTTCATGATATTAGTAATTTTATTTTAAGTGAAAGATTTAAAACTCTACAAGTACTAGCTTTGGTAATAAATTAAGTTTAATGGATAAAATAAAAGTTCTGTATTATTATTCTAGCTTTTTTACAGTGTTATTCCTAATAATCTCCTTTAATATTAATCATTTTTCTATCTCAATATTTTTCTTTTTTCCTTTCATCAACTCCTCTCCTTGATTTTTCTCTCTGTCTCTGTTTCTATTGGTGAAAACTGCATCATGTTTGCTCTCAAAATCACACCTTTTCACCCCTTGTTTGTTAAATTTTAACGACTCCATTAAACTGTAATCTGAAACATATCAGTGCCTTCTGATCAGAACATGTGATCTGCATCACATATAAGGAAAAACATAGAATTAAAGAAAATGGCCGGCGCCACTGCTCAATAGGCTAATCCTCCACCTGTGGTGTCGGCACACCAGGTTCTAGTCCCAGTCGGGGTGCCAGATTCTGTCCTGGTTGCTCTTCTTCCTGTCCAGCTCTCTGCTGTGGCCCGGGAGTGCAGTGGAGGATGGCCCAAGTCCTTGGACCCTGCACCCGCATGGGAGACCAGGAGAAGCACCTGACTCCTGGCTTCGGATCAGTGAGGTGCACCTGCCGCAGCAGCCATTGGGGGGTGAACCAACGGAAAAGGAAGACCTTTCTCTCTGTCTCTCTCTCTCTCACTGTCCACTCTGCCTGTCAAACAAAAAATAAATAAATAATTTAAAAAAACAGAATTAAAGAAAATGGTATACAGTTTGCTTGAAATCTTAGAGGCAGGCCCCAGCATTTCATATTTAACATTTTGTGGTCATTATACTATTGATTTAAATTTTCTACAAATGTTCCACCTTTGCATGCATTCTTAGTTCATTTCACATCAGTTTGACAGTTTTTGATGCATCCTTTCTAAATAACTGGATATTTACCCTAATTGCACCTTAAAAACTCATCTAGTTCTCCTTCTGATACTTTGACTACCTGTCTGGAAATCATGTCTAGTATTTCTACATATCACAAAAGTAACTCAAGCCAACAAGTATGTCATAACCAAATTGGAGCCCTTTTGTAAAGGTTTACTGCTTTTCGATTCAATAAGGCATCTAATCATATACAAAACACCAGACAGGTAGGTCATATGGTAAAGCATTTGAATGACTGTCCTTATCCAGACTGGCTAGATCTAAGCTCTGCTTTGTCATTTACTGGATATATTGTCATTAGAAATTATTATGTGTCCCAAGGCCTACTTCCAATATGTATTATTAGGAAAAAGTAACACCTATCAAGAACTGAGAACCTGCTAGTCTAAGCACCTTGTAACGTTAGTTCTCAGTATGTCTTTGTGCTGAACACTCTGATGAGTTTTTGGAATAAAATTTAAACAAAACCAGACATGACCCTTACCATTGCTGTTACATTTCACAGCAAAAACAAGCAAACAAACAAAAAAAAAAAAACAAAAAAAATTACACCCAATGAACTACGGATCTATAGCTTCATAGTTTTCTATAAATATTGTGCTCTTTACAGTTAACTGGGCTGTAAGAATAATTTCCTCCTTCATGTTATATGGTTTTTATCACCATATTCACACATTGAGGCAGATAAAATAAATTTAATCTCTTTTCTTTATGGCCCCAAAAGACCACCTTAGGACATATAGTAGGATAGAACCCAAACTATTCTTATTTTTTATTTATTTATTTTTGTTTGTTTATCTAAACTCACAGATTGAGTCTGGTCTTCCACCATGTAGTAGGCCTAATCCTTACATGAGCAAATCCCCAATACAAAATAAACAGGAAGGAGAGAGAGAAAGCTAAAAGCATTTGGTAACTTTCTGTTTTGTTTCCAACATTATTGTGTCTTGTCTCTTAAATAAGAGTAAAATTTTTAATTCTCAACCCCAATAGTACATGTGTTTAACAAACAGAAATTGTTTTAAATAAGTAACTTGCTTAATGCCTGAGCAATTTTATATGCTAATACTTCATTATATTTTATTATATTAATACCTATACCTAGATAGATTGATAAATAGATAAAAGGTCTATATTTTGGGTCATTTGTATTTGAAATTTATACATTTCAAATGTCAAATATTCATAATAAATTTCCATGTTTGCAGATAAGACCCGAAGACACAAATGAACCTTTTTTAATTAAGAAACTTATGTCTTCTAGTGAAAACACCTAAATTGATTTAAATTTTCCTGTTCTGTGTAAACATACATGTGAGACCAACTGGTATTGCTGGGTTACATTGCATGATCTAAATCTTTCTTATCTTTAATAATTATATAATGCTTTTAGATTTTTTTGACATTAATGGTGTTTAACAGCATCTCTAAGTATTCTAATTTTGACAGGTAGAGAAACGACTTTCAAATGAGTACTTTTAAAGTTTTAGAAATATTATAGAGTCCATTTATATTTTTTATGTTAACTTTCTTTTTTTAAGTTTAGTAATTTTACATAAGTTCAAAGAACACATATTGCAAATAATTAAAGCTTACATTTTAGGACAAAAATATTAAAAAGTGTCAAAAAATGTAGAACATTGTTCTTCTTGTTCCCAAAGTTAAAATTATACTCATTTAAAAAAGAAAAATAGCACTGGTAACCCAAGAAATGTCATAAAATTCATGAGCTAAATACTTTTAGTGTTTTTATAATGTTTAATTATTTACATTTCAATGATAAGCAAAGATGAACACTGTTCATATTTTGACTAACACCTATTCACATAAGGGTTATAAAAAATAAGAAATTAAGAATAAATCAGAAAAGCCACTCTGGTTGTAGTTCTAGCATTACTGTGGTGAAAATCACTTTATTACTTTTGGTTTGATCATTCTTAAGTGATAAATTAGACTTGGGACAGAGTAAGTGAGTAGACAGCATTTCCGGTAACACATGAGACCTTTCTCATACATTCCCATTCTGCTAAGGAAACAGTGACTCAAGAGGAAGAGCTCAATTTCTCATGTTATGCTAATTTCAAGAAAACAAAAAGACTGTTGGTAAATTCATGGGTTAATATTAAAACATATCAACAGGAACTTAGATGTTAGTGTTAATTTAATGTTTAATATGTTAATTTTCATAATATATGCAAGCATACACACAAAATTTGTGGAACATCCATGACAACTCATTTGGAGAAGCTTATGAACGATTAATATATGTGATGTGTTACAGAGAGGGCAATATTGAATTTGTCCTGTTCTCAAGAATTTCAAATTCTATGTAAAAGCCAAAATATAAATTTTGAAAATTTAACTTTGGTGTATTAGAAAATATTCTACAAGCTCATTTTGCCTAAGGGGAGGTATGATAAGCTTCAATTAACAGTGACTTTAGAATTATGCTATGAATATTTACAGAGATCCAGTAGAAATATAATAAAAATTATATCATTATATTCCCTTATGCTTATTTCCTGAAACTAGGTCCTTTAAGTCACTTTCATCTTTTGAAAGATTATGACTTATAAAAATAAAATAATTTAAGTGTTATAAAATTATATTGAATGTAGTATTAAATTGCAGTGTTGCCTATGACACAAAATTATATACTTCCTTATCTTCAGGATAATGCGGATTTTCAAATTGCAGAAAATAATCATTATAATGTAGCATATCAATAGGCATAATCTGTGTTTTCGGTGGGGGCTTTATGTAGGCACATCTGTTATACAAGTGACTGCAACGGATGCAGATGACGCAAACTACGGAAATAGTGCCAAAGTGGTCTATAGCATACTGCAAGGGCAGCCATATTTTTCAGTGGACCCAGAATCAGGTAACAACATTTAATTTTTGTTCTATTCTTCATTATGCAACATTTGCATGCACAAATTAGAAATGTTTCCATATTTTAAAATCCACCCATAAAATTCCAAGTTTCTAATGGTGTCTTGTAATTATCCCTCGAAACAAAAGCAATTCTCCATTATTTGCATAAGTAATTTGTACTTAGTTCTTTAACTTATAACACATTTGGGTTAAATGTAAGAAGGATGAGAAATACAAATTTTTACAGATTCAGTATATTCTATCGTATTGAAAATTACTCTGAGCTTAGGAATCACTTAAAAAATATTCAAGATTATTTGACTACAATTTTCTGGCTGGTGTTAGTTTTGTTAATCAAAAGAATAAGTAGGCGTTGACGCTGTGGTGCAGCAGGTTAAAGCCCTGGCCTGAGGCGCCGGCATCCCATACGGGTGCCGGTTCGAGACCCGGCTGCTCCACTTCCGATGCAGCTCTCTGCTGTGGCCTGGGAAAGCAGTGGAAGATGGCCCAAGTTTTTGGGCCCCTGAGCTCGCTTGGGAGACCTAGAGGAAGCTACTGGCTTCTGGCTTCAGATTGGCTCAGCGGCCATCTGGGGAGTGAGCCAGCAGATGGAAGACCTCTCTCTCTCTGCCTCTCTTTAATTTAAATAATTAAACTGATTTATCAAAGCATTCCGTAAACAACAGTCCATGGTAGATTTTATTCTATTCTATGAATTATGTTAGTTTTGTTATAGATTGAAAATTTATTTAAGTATACAAAAATTGTATACAGTTGTTGATTTATTTCTGTAAAATAGATCTTGCCTGGCTTAATTTTAAAATTCTGTAAACTAACAGCTAAACATTTGTTCACCTTTTTCAAAAGGCGTAATAAAAACTGCATTACCAGATATGAGCAGAGAAAATCGGGAGCAGTACCAGGTGGTTATACAGGCCAAAGACATGGGTGGCCAGATGGGAGGCCTTTCTGGAACTACCACAGTGAATATCACCCTGACGGATGTGAACAACAATCCTCCTCGTTTTCCCCAGAGTAAGGAAGGTTGCTGTGATCTCCTTGAAAAGATTGCCAAACACACTGCTATGCTGATATTTATTTGCTTAGTTTCGTAATTAGTTTATGCATAAAGGCAAATCCACAACCTTTCCCTCCAGAAAAAAAAATCACAATTTTCTGCAACTTGAAAGCAATGATAAATGTTTCATCATTATTTTGAGTGGGTAGTGGGAGGAAAAAAAAAAAAAAACAACATTTGTTTGACAACCTAATCACCCTTTCTTAGCTTTTGAAAAGTTGGAAACTTTTCCAGATTATATTTCCTGGCATTCACTGTAAGCATTTTAGTCATTTCCTCCTAATCTCTTTGCTGGTTAGTACAGGGTACTCCAAATTCTAGCCACTTGCATTCAAACTATGGCAGTTACTTGTCTTGGCTCAACATTATTTTTTGTACAGTGGCACTATAACCCCTTGTACTATTGATTCTAAAACAGACTCTAAACAATTCCGAGATCAAGACAGTGTATCGAAGATAATACAAGTTGGTTGCATTGCCAGAATTTTTGCATTTTCTTAGGATTTATCTTGTTTGTGATGGTATCTTTAATGACAGTTTTTAAGTTTGGCAGTATCTATGTTATCCAGCTATGAAGATTAAATCTATTAAAACCGTTTCTGTTGTCACCATTTCAACCAACAATGCTTTGCATTCCATGAAGTTCTACAATGCAGATTCAGCTCTGTGCTGAAGGTTTTTGCTTTTGCAGTGAATAAATGTGTAAAGGAGTCTAGCTTGAGATGTTTGGTTAAGTGTTCAAATGTAAATTAGTACTACTGATTTCCATAGAGTAAAACATTTTCCCTGGCCAGCAAATATAAAATATTCTGTGAATCAGCTTCAATAGGTAGATGTATCCATGCGATAAATTTTACAATAAGTTTTCTGAAACATGGATTGTAAGCTCAAATAACAAAAATTTTAACTCTTCATTCGTATGTCTTAAATGTAAACTCTTATATAGAGTATGATTTGATGAATTTCCAATGTCTCACCAATCTCTGTTTCTAGGATTATTATAATCTTAATGAAATTTTTTAAATTATAATAGCAATAGAAAAAGGCAAAGCACTAGACCCTGGGCTAAACTTATTACAGACATAATCTCATGTAATCTTCATAATAAACCCTAGAAGTTAATTGCTATCATTACCATCCTTATCATCCTTATTTTAGAGATAAAGACATCAAATTTCAGAGAATATAACCAACTTACCAGGGTGAGAATTCTCAACCAAGCATTTGGATTTATTGCTTCATCTTAACTCTTACATGATTGGAAGGAGAATAGATTTTGTCAGTTTTGTATTCCTGTTCTCCCAAGTCTTAAGGATAAATTCAGGAGCCCCAACTCTGAAGATAATAAGCTAAATTAGTCCATAGCAAACCTTTGTGAAGATTAAATGCATTAGCACAGACAATTTTTGATCATACTGAGTTTTCAGTACATAATACTATATTTAAAGTATTTCCAACTGGAACTTTCTTGGTATGTTTGTCCTATGGTTCCTTGATTAGAGTTAACACCGTGAAATGCTCCCAGGAACAGTAGAATGCATTATAATGACTGGCTGACCCTCCAAATAACAGGAATATCCAAATCCTACTTAATGGCATGAAGAGTAAAGCAAACAAGCAAGCAAAGAGATATTGCTGTCTGTGGAATTATTTTCCTAGTCCTGAAACAAAACAAATGAATAATTCATGTTTTTACCTACTTTAAATCATGTGAAATGTGCAATGAAAATTTTGAAAGACCTAGATAGACATGGCCCTGTAAGTCAAAAGTTCTGGATTCTAATATCAGCCTCCCATCTATTACCTAAATAACCTTGGGAAAAGCATTCGCTTCATCTTTGTGGGACTTATATTTCTCACTTACAAAATGAGAGTGCTCTGCCTTTACACATACTTTTTCGATCCAATAAATATAATTTTTGACAGCTTGCAATTCTATATGATGAAAAAAATCTAACCATTTAAAATTAATTTAAATAAGACAGGCAGTGGAAATGAAAAGATCTTGTTATCTAAAGATGAAATGTCAACCTGGCCCTGATTTAATTTACAGGTACATATCAATTTCATTCTCCTGAGTCTGCCCCTCCCGGAACCCATCTTGGAAGGATAAAAGCCAATGACCCTGACGTGGGAGAAAATGCTGAGGTGGAATATAGCATAGCTGAAGGAGAAGGAGCAGACATGTTTGATGTCATCACTGACAAGGATACACAGGAAGGGATTATAACTGTCAAACAGGTTTCTTTTGGCTGTCTTCAATTTTAAATTGAGTTCTCTACAGTTTATTTCTGTTTATAGGAAAGGGAAGAAGACCTGGGATTTATTTTTCCTATCACTTGCCTGATGTCTGTCTTTCTAATAACTAGGTCTAATTGTGTTTTTGTTTCAAATAATTTAAGCATCTTAATCATTAGCACTTATAAAGTCATATTAAATCTCAGCCATTTGTGCTTAAAGGAGAAAACAATCAAACTATAATCAGAAAAACTCAAAGGTACTTTGTATTATTCCAAGGAAGAAAATATAAGCACTTTGCCATCATAATTATTTCAAGTACTTTTCAAAATACCAAATTGTAGGTGTGAGGGTCTATTCAAATAAATGAGACACAAAGATGCTTTGTACTTTATGTTTTTCTTTATTTCAATGCAGTGTGGGAGACCACTCAGAAACTTGACATGAAATAATTGAGCTTTGTACTGATTATTTTATATGGCCCTGGTTTCATTTATTTCATTTATTCCTTGCCTTCAATAAACACTTAATGAAATATTTTATACTGAATCCTTTATATATTGTTCTTATTTTAACTATGTATAATTCTAATAATAATGACAATATGTAATATAAAGATCCATTATATAATTTTAATTCACTTCTGACTAAAATAAATGAAGTACATCAAAAATGGGAATCAATCTTAATGAATACAGTGTTATATATAGTTAATTCTCTATAAATAATAGGTAGGAAAGATTTATTCTTTATTTTATATAAATATGAATCAATAAATGGATTAATTTCTTTACCAAAATTATTGATATAATTGAGATCTGGTTATTAAATTTTAAAATTATCTTTCATTATTATATTTTCTAAATATGCTAATTTTCATATTTTATTTATCTTCAGAATTTAGATTTTGAAAAAAAAAAGTTATACACTTTAAGAGTGGATGCAAGTAACACTCACCCTGATCCACGATTCTTACAACTGGGACCTTTCAAAGACACAGCCATGGTCAAGATATCAGTGGAAGATATAGATGAGCCTCCTGTGTTCAGTAAACGCTCATACTTGCTAGAAGTCGATGAAGATGTGAAAGAGGGTAGCATCATTGGGCAGATCACAGCATATGATCCAGATGCCATGAACAATTTAATAAAGTAAGTACCTTCTCTATTTACAGTCATGTAGAGAAAAAAAAAATCTACTCCGTGTATAATTAGCAGTAGTTGTGCAATCGAATTATAAATATATCACATATTTAGTGACATATTTCATTTGTGCACTATCGTGCTATAAGGTAGATACTATGATGATATATTTTGAGAGAGAAGACTTAGGAAGTGGCCATTTAAATGTTTTGCCTAACAGTGACAAAGCTGACTTCTTAAACAAGATGACCTATATAGCTCCAGTGATTCTAATCCCTTTACTGTGGATGTGATTCTTGTCTCATTGTCCCTCTTGGTTAAATTAAATTTCAAATTAAAAATAATCAAAATAAACAAATTGAGAGAGGGAAATGGAGAGATACAGAAAGACACACACACGCACACACACACACACAGAATGAGAGAGAGAGGTTGAGAAAAGAGCCCCTATCCTCTATTTCAGTCCCCAGTTGCCACAAATGACCACTGCTGGCCTGTCCTGAAGCCAGGAGCAGGAACTCACACTAATTCTCCATGCTGTGGCAGAGACTCAACTACATGAACTGTGACCACTGCATCCCAGAGTCCCCATCAGGAGGAAGTTAGAGTCAAGAGCAGGAGCAGGTATTGTGGTATGAGATGTGACATCTTCATTACTCCAAATGCCTATTTTCTTTTCCATCGATTACAGACAGAAATTCCATAAACAATAGGCATATTATATATCACCTTAGGAATCTATGGTTCTATTTCTAATATCATTTTTTAAATATTGTATTCACTTATTTGAGAGGTAGAGTTAAAAACAGTGAGAGGGAGAGACAGAGAGAAAGGTCTTCCATCCTCTGATCACTCCCCAAATGGCCTCAATGGCTGGAGCTGTGCTAATCCGAAGCCAGGAGCCAGGAGCTTCTTCTGGGTCTCCCACATGAGTTCAATGGGTCCAAGGACTTGGGTCATCCTCTACTGCTTTCCCAGGCTGTAGCAGAGAGCTGGATTGGAAGTGGAACAGCAGCTGGACTTGAACCGGTGCCCATATGGGATGCCGACAGTGCAGGCAGAAGCTTTAAGCCACTGCACGACAGCGCTGTCCCACTAATATGATTTTAAAATAAGTTTATTGAAGTCTTGTTAAGCTTCAATAAGCTCTGCAAATTTAAAGTGTATGAGTTGATAAACTTCGTTATACTCATACATCTGTGAAAACATCACCCCCATCAAGGTAATATACATTGCCCATAACCTAAAACATTTCTTAGTACTCCTTACAGTACCTCCTTATCAACCTTCCCTGAAGTCAGCCTCACTACACAGCAAACACTTAATTCTTCTATTTCTATATGATTAGATTGGATTTTCTTTTTATTTTTGTTTTCAGGATTTCTTTTTTTATTTATCTGAAAGTCAGCATTACAGAGAGAGAAAGAGAGATCTCTGTCTGTTGGTTCACTTCCCAAAGGCTTCAACAACCACGGCTGGGCCAGGCTGAATCCAGGAGCCAGGACCATCTTCCAGGTCTCCCACATAGATAGCAAGGGCAGAAGCTGAGCAGCCAGGACTCAAACAGGCACCCATATGAGCTGAAGATGCTTCCCCAATGCACCACAACACCAGCCTGAGGATTTTCTAGGATATTACATACATGGATGTGTTTAATCGTTTATATAAAAACATAGTCCACGTTTCTTATTTATTTTACTTAGCATAATTATCCTGAAATATCTTACATGTTATCATGTACCTGAATAATTCATCATTCTAGTAGCTGAATAATATTCTAATGTGTAAAAGCACCATGATATACTTGTTGATTGACTTATTGTTATTTTAGATCATTTTCAATACTTGCTTTTTATAAAATATTTATACATATTTGAATGCAAATATCTATATACATATCTGTATAGCACTATTTGTCTTGCTATATTTCTATTTTTTCCTATTTCTTGAGTAAAATGCTGGAAGGGGATTTGCTAATCTGTATGGCACATGTTTGTTTAGCATTTGTGAAAATTCAAGATATTTCAGAGTAGTTGTATCCTTTTAATTCACACCAGAATGTATGAGGTTTCCAATTATTCTACATCCTCACCAATGTTTATACAGTCAGCCTTTTAAAAATTTTACTTATTATACTTGGTGTGTAATATCATCATATTTTTAATCTTTATTCTATGTCTAATGATATAAAATTTTTTCATGTTTTGTGCCACCAAAATATTTTTTTTGACAGGCAGAGTTAGACAGTGAGAGAGAGAGAGACAGAGAGAAAGGTCTTCCTTTTTCGTTGGTTCACCCCCCCCAAATGGCTGCCATGGCTGGTGTGCTGTGCCAATCCGAAGCCAGGAGCCAGGTGCTTCCTCCTGATCTCCCATGCAGGTGCAGGGCCCAAGCACTTGGGCCATCCTCTACTGCCTCCCCGGGCCACAGCAGAGAGCTGGACTGGAAGAGTAGCAACCAGGACAGATTCCAGCGCCCCAACTGGGACTAGAACCCGGGGTACTGGTGCCGCAGGTGGAGGATTAGCCAAGTGAGCCATGGCTCAGGCCTAAAATATGGCTTTGATGAATTCTCTATTTACATATATGCCTATATTTTATTGGGTTATTTTCTAACTTTTAAATTTAGATATGTGTGCTGGTTATATGCCTTGATGATGTCTGCATATTGTCTAAAAATAAAGTTACACATAGCAGAGTATTTTTAAAAGTTTGTAGAACGGAATAATAAGGAAGATGACATTTCTAGGTGCAAAATATTAAGAAATCCATGGATAGTTTTCTTATAATACACGTTTTCCAAAAACTTCTTGAATATTTCTCATATAGCTGTGTTTCAAATTTTTCCATCAAAATAAACTGATAACTCAAATTTATTTCCCATGAAATTCTTGTTGTATCATATGTATCAATATATCCTCCCTAATATTTAATAATTTATTGAGGATACAATTTCACAAGTGTCAATAAAATAATTATTCAGCTTTCTTTTAAACTGTATAAAGATGGTTGATACATTATTCAGCTTCTTAATCTTTGATCAATATTTGGGATTCCATTTCCTCTGATTGAATTTAGGTGATGGCTGATCCCTGAGCAGAAACAGGCTATGATAAGCATCATGAAGAAATTTTTTCGGCGAGAGTTTGAGAACTAATTCTCACCCCCACCCCCACTTCGCATCTGTTCATCAAACGTTTTATGAAATAGATCTGCCAATTGCAAAATGAACTTACGGTTACAATTAGCAGCTTTAGTCAGCTCTGTTTCATTTCATTTGGAATCATGGTTCTCCCAAGTTACAGGGTTGATTATAGCTGTATGAGGTTTTAAAGAACATGTGCCTCATTTCACACCTATGTTCTATTTAACATATTTAAAGTTCAATTTTTTTAGAAGAATTCTTTTTTACTGGTGTCAAATTGAAAAAGTAAGTAATGACAAAAACTTGCTGGTGAGACCTCAGAGCTTCTTAATGCCTGATACTGGTGGTCAGAATTTTTTCAAAGCATGGTCTCTAAACACCAGTCTTCACTGCTGCTTCAAACACAGAAGCCAAGACCTGCTCCTGGCCCAAGTCCGGTGGTCCTCTCAGGGTTTGTCGAAGGGAGAAAATGAACAAGAAGCAATTGAACATATTGATCAAGTACAAAGTGAAACAGACAGACTTACTGAACTAGGCAGTAAGGAGATTTTGAAAGTAGAACAGAGATATAGAAAACTCCATCAACTATTTTTTTTTTCAAAAGAGGTCAGACTTGATAGCCAAAATCTCCAACTTTAGGTAACAATATTTATCTACCACCTACAAGTATCTGCAATGCTTTGGGTGGGGGAGAGGGCAGACTCTGCATTACCTGACCAGAGTTGAAGCGACAGAATACATCAAATCAGGCTACAGAATAGATTTATATTTTGATGAAAATCCTTGCTTTTAAAATCATGTTTTCTCCAAAGAATTTTTTTCTGAATGAGAGTGGTAATCCATATTCAAAGTCCACTGGAATGAAATGGAAATCAGGGAAGGATTTGATTACAGGTTCAAGTGAAACACAGAACAAAGCCAGCAGGAAGAGGCAACATGAGAAACCAGGAGTTTCTTTACATGGTTTACTGACCATTCTGATGCAGATGCAGATGAGTTAAGAGAAGTCACTCAAGGTGATATTTGACAGAATCTGTTACAGTACTACTTGGTTCCGGATATGGATGTTGACAAAGGGGAAGGAGAATAAAACGAAGAGGAAGAGGAGGAGGAGGAGGAGGATTGGAAGACATTGATGAAGAAGGGGATGAGGATGAAGGTGAAGAAAAAGATGATGATGAAGGGGAAGAAAAGGTGGATGAAGGAGAAGATGACTAACAGGAAACATTGATGAATTCCCACTTAAAAAAAAAAAAATTCTCCAGTCCATGGGAGCAAGTTACCATCTTATTATATTTTTTCACTCTAGTGCTCAGTCTCCTGTTTTTAGGTTCTCTTTTGTACACAACATGGTTCTCAATTTATTGCAGGAATTTACCTTAAGAAGATATAGAATATCTACCCCTTTTCTGTTCCAAATTTTTTTATCCCTTCTTTTCTTGGCAAAACTGTATGGAATCAACACCACCGTGCTCTATGGGAAGAAAGAAGACCTTCTCCATTGGCTTTGCTGGAAGCTGGAGGGTGCTAGGCACTTGTGTAGTAGTGCACAGAATTCTAGCTTTTTTCCTTCTTTCTCTGTCTATTGGGCTCAGAGAATATGCTTTGTCTCTAAGTGAATATGGACAGTTAGCATTTACCAACATGTATCTGTCTACTTTCTCTTGTTTAAAAATAGAAAAAAAAAAAAACCTTAAAATGTGAGGTTATAGAAGATCATCAAAGGGTGGGTTTGAGGTGTTCTGGTGAGTTAAGTGGGCATTCTGACAAAATGGCTGCTCCGTTGACATGTTTAATTGTGATGGTTAATGGATATCCTTGAAGTTTAAGGTGACACTTTTAAAACATAGAATTTATTCCAAATA